GACAAATAAACAAAGTTACAGGTTTATTCCAAAGATATCTCCTGCAACACAAAGAACATCTGAATTTGGCAATCTTTATTCACTTATATGTTTTAATCAGGTGAATCTCTTACCTCTTAACTTCTTTGACGTCTCCTCGCACTGCTGGCCGTCTCTTCCAGAAAATAACAGGAAGATATTCTAAATAAAAATGAACTAAGTTTTAACTCACAAGGGAATATACTGAGATGAATAATGCACTATGCAGTGAAAATGATACCTTCTATGTTGTCTTCACCGGAGCGTTCCCTGACACCGTGAGAGCTGTAAAGAACAGTCACACCCATAGAGACAGAGTTCAACTCTAAATTCACACCCCACAATAAAACCAAGTTAGAAACATCTATGTCTTTTAGGAAAGCTCCCGGTGTACTGTTCTCAAAAGACAGAGGCAATAAAACCCAGGTGAATTTTTTCGTCCTATTTTTATCCTGGTGCAGTCTTAGCTCATTCTTTCTCTACTGCCTGGACTTGCCTGTTTGAAAAAGAGCAGGGTGGAGCTGCTCCACAAACAAATTAGTATGCCAGTCAAAGAACTGTGTACAACAATCCTTTGCTTAGGTAGATGTAGTGATACCACAGTACAAACCTGCTGCTTAGATGCTGTAGGAGCACAATAGTAATATAATGTGGTGTTTGTGTATAGCATCTCACAGGGCAACGTTTGGGTACTAGACCTTCATCAGGACAAAAGGCAGGACATCTTAAAGAGCCCATATTCTGCCTTTTAGGGGTTTGTATATTTAATCTATGTTCCTACTTTTGTACGTTCACAATAGATAAAGTTTTTAAAAAGTGTCTGTTTTTATGTACTGCTCCTCCTTGCTCCCTCTACGCTCTGATCCGTCAGCTACACTCTGTTGAGCCCACTGTTAGACCCCACGTGGGCCAAGTCTGCTCTGATTGGTCTGCCGATCTGCTCTGTCGTTATTGGTCAGTTGCTCAGCACGCTTCTGGGAAATTTCAACTTGAGCTGCAGGGCTTGCCGCAATGAGCCAATGGGCTTAGATCAGTGATCTCACACTGACAAGACGTCACACTGACACATTTCAAAATCTTCGAACCTGACCTTAATCCAAACCTATGCTTTCTAAACACCAGTTTGACATACGATCTTAACTTTGTATCACAGCACTTAAACAGAGAAACACACTGAATAAAAGTTACATTTGAAGCATTTATAAAAGTCTTTATTATTGTTCTATAATTACTGAAGGACAGAAAAACAAACAAAACTTCTCTTCACTGAAACATTTGATTACGTATTTTTTTAATCGTCATTAAAATGAAAGTTTAAGTCATTTTAAATTATTTCGGTAGCGTTCTCCGGGACTCATAAACCACAGCGGTACATTCTGAGTTAAAATACGTCACAGTTTGAAATCACTGGCCACCAGAAGCTGTTTAATCTGTACATTTAATTCTTCATATACATCATCCAGTAGTCAGTATGAACATGAATATGTAAACGCATAAATAAAAACATGGTAGGTTTCGCAGTGATACTGGCTGAAGTCACATTTTCAAGATACAGATGCCCGTCTTTGTCGTCTCTTGTATCAGACTGGATTTTAAACCAGAGCCCTGAGTCTTCGTGCTGCATTCACTTACTCCCTGGAAATGATCATACTACATTTTTCACAGTCAAAGCGACGGAGCTGACTCGTTTAAACCAATAAGGGATGCAGTGATTGTTATTTCCTGCTCTTCATTCTGTTCAGGTTTATTACAGAAAAGATCAACCTTCATCTTAACTCAGGAGTTTGTCTGAACAGACCTGGTCGATGACTTTAATTAAAATCAAACATACTCCAACAGAAAATAAGCTGAACAGTATTTTTCTATAAGCTCTGGGCCTGTATTTACAAACCAGGAAACACAAAGAATATATATTGTTTTAAAGCTGCTTGATTATAACTAAAATCGTAATCATGAATGTATTTTGGGATAAAAAAAGTTTTACTCCCAGTAACGTGTGCGCTGAACTGAACTAATACATTCACATGAACTCAAAAACACTGTTCTAGTAAATTAAGTGAAACTCACAAAGCTTTTCCTTATGAAGCTAAACTAATTTAAAAGAATATTCCCTTTTGGTCTTTTAACCCTTTCATTTGAATCCACCTCTGAACTTGTTCTCAGGTTTATGGCACCTACCTCCCTCTGAAAAAAGAAACTGACATCAGTTTGTAATTTACACATGATAACACCTGTGATGCCTTGCTCTAAACTCAATCTAAGCTCTCTTCTAAACTGCTCTAAGCTCGCCCTAAACTCAATCTAAGATCGCTCTAAACTCATTTGAAGCTCGCCCTATGCTAGCTTAAAGCTCACTCTAAGCTCACTCTAAGCTCACTCTTAACATGCTCTAGGCTCACCCTAGCTTCAGTGCTTGGGGCGACTGCATAAAAAAAGGCAGAGCGCCCGGAAAAAAAACACTGAGCAGCACTGCGCTTTTTCTCCGGGTGTCCGTCTGCTGCTGGAAACGCTCTCTCCTCATTGGAAACGCTCTCTCCTCATTGAAAACAATTGAAAAAAGTTGCAGGCGCTCAGAAAAAAAAAAAAAGCTCAGTGAACACGGGGCTTGAAACACCAAGTTCTACGCTACATTTTCTATAACCGTTTCGTGCTTTTGCCTCTGACGATACGAGACAAGTCGACTTCTTGAAATAATAATCACAAACTGGTCGTTACCACGTGAACAAGGAGTAAAAACAGGTTCTGATTCATGTTCGCTCAGCTCTTCTGTTCAGAATTAATGTTAGAACTGATTCCATATTTAAGTATGTTGAACTGATTGTTGTTTGTGTTTCTAAGTACCAGCTGTGTCGACCCAACTTTCCTCATGTGGGATTAATAAAGTTGATCGAGTTAATGACAGAGGAAAGGTGTTTGATCGTGGTGTTATATTACATCAATTAAAACTTCTGTTTGCATCATTATTACTGTTTGTGTTAAAGCATTACTGTCATGATAGAAAAGCGTTTTGAGTTGTTATTGTCCGCTGGCCTAGTTAGTGCAAATAGCTTATTAGTAACAGTCATTATTAGGTAAAGTAAGCGTCCTACCTTTGCATATAAACAGCACGCTATAGTTCAGCCTCTTTTTTTTTTTGCTTTTGCACACTGCAGAGCTTTAAGCTACATATAGTATTTTTTTTTATGTGAACATGCAGCTCTTCAGAGGATTTTAAGGGACTGATGACGACGTGTGTGATAAATACAGGCCCAGATCTTTGTTTTTCCCACAGGACATGAACGCAGCATTTTACAAACACTCACAATAAAACTAAACGCGTGTTAAAAGTTCCTCAAGGTGTGTCCATCCTCTTTCATCAAACATGGATGCTAGCTGTTTCAATGGTAACTTTATTTTCCCCGACACACTGACAGAGTGAACGAGGCGTTCTTCACCTTCACCGTCCGTCCGGACCTAGCTGAGGATTTTGTGGTATGGGTGGAGGGGGAGGGATGAGGTGAACGCTCTGATGTCTGAGATGAGCGTGACGTCCTGGAGCGCCGGCGAGGAGGCAGGCAGGAAGTTCAGCTCGCTCACCTCCCCGTATGCCGAGGAGGAGGGGGGGGAGTCGGGGCTGTCCTGGCTGCAGCAGACACTCTGCTCAGGCGGGTCGTTCTCTTCCACGCCGAAACCGACCACCTAGTCACACCGGGGGGGGGGGGGGGGACAAAAGGGTTCAAACTCAGTCTACGAGAGATTTACAAACCTTCATGACGTCAACTCAACAAACAGACTCACGTGCACGCTGAGCCTCCTACTGCTGCCGTTTCTGTGCTCCATGAACCAGGAGACCAGCTCCCCTGACTGAAGACCTTCAGGGCCTCGATCTGCACAAAACACAGCCGATCAGAGCCAGAACCAGAGACCTGCAGAGTCCACTAAGTGACTGTAAGCTGTATGAGTTCATGGTCATTAGATGTTGTGATTTAGAAAAAGTCTTCTTAATAAGTATGTTAAGGATGAGTCGACAGGGGCCTGTGTCAAGTTATTAGTGACTCTTTAGTCTATATTCCAATTTTCCCTACTTATTTTATCCGCCCTTAAACACGCGCAGCCCCAAAGGCATCGATGAGCGTCCTTTCAGAAAGGATGTGGTGGGCGCTGCGAGCCACTCTAAAACCCATTCACTGTCTATGTGTAGCGCAGTGCAAGAGCGCGTCTGCACCCTGTTGAGGTGAGCGCAGCACGCTTGCTGTTCAGATATTAAAACATGTTCATCTGTGGCGCAGCGCCCCTTGACGACACTTCCTGATCAGATCTCAACAAAACGTTCTCTCACTTTGGTGAAAGCGCTTTGAGTGTGTTAGCACCATCGTCTCGGTCTGAGCTGCAGAGTCTGTTTAATCGGCTTGGAAGATTTAAAAAGCAGGATAAAGGATCATTTGACCACTGTATTCACATGTTTCTCTGCTGGAGGCTTCTGATTGGTTGATTGATGTAAAGTTTGTTTATTGTGTGAATCTCTGATGCTGCTCTCTGGTTCAGGACTCTCTTGGAAAATAAATCTTGTACCTCAGCGAGAAAATTAAGAAAAGTGTTATATATATATATATATTTCAGAGTATTGTGATTGTTTCTCAGGCTGCAGTGACTCTGGTTCATCTTATTGTATCTGTATTTATCATGCAGGTATCAGCAGGTGGCTCATATAGCTTCAGCCTGCTTTAATCTTTAATCTTGAAAAGCAAAATAATTATATTTTCTGACCTCTCACAGCCAACACCTGCAGTACCTTCATGACCCACCAGGGGGCTGCAAATTCCTGGTCTGTTGTTAAGACCCTGCGTCATATTTATGTAGTGATCATGATTATTGTGAACTGTGCAGCTCTGCCTCCTACCCAGCAGTGTGTGTGTGTGTGTGTGTGTGTGTGTGTGTGTGTGTGTGTGTGTGTGTGTGTGTGTGTGTGTGTGTGAAGTGGGTTCACAGCGTGAGAGCGAGAGATGAGCGAGAGTGGGGGGACGGTACAGTCAACGCTCAGAGGTGGAGGGTCATAACTGTCCAAACTGCTCCAACCCTCACACACGCACGCTAAGAAACCGATCTAAGAGGCAGGGTCATATTTGTCCCAGTCAGTCTCTGCTCAGATGCCCCCCCCCCCCAACTTCAGTGGATTGTTTCTTTTTTTCTTTGGAAGCTCAAACTGAGGGGTCAAAGGTCAAAGCCCCTTGAACCCCTAGTGACACTTTGTGATCACATCTCTGTTACTGCTGACCCAACATGAATCCACAAATAAACACTTGGAAACAAAGTCAGAGCACTCAAACGTTTCAGCCATTTTTTATCAAATAAATATTTGATAAATATAATATAAAATAAAAATAAATATAAATCTTCTTTTCAAACATTGCTGTACATATATAAACATCACAACTTCAGAAGGTCAACACTTTTTTATTTTTTATATTCAGGTCTAATTACAGATTTTTTTCCTCAGCTGTTTTTAGGTTCTTGTTTAAATCTCACATATATTTCTATCCCTGCACGGGTTATGTACATTTCTTACATTTCTTGTATAAATCTATTTTTAATTGCAAAGTTTAAGTTTGATTCATCTAGGGGTATTCTTTACATCTTTTTTTTGGGTGTCCGATTTTCATGTCCGATCAATGGAGTTAATGAGCAGATTAATAATCATTAGTGGAAGTCGTGAGGTGCTGAAAGATGCAGACGTCTTTTTAAAAACATCATGACTCATATTCACACAAACATTTCTACATATATGTGTGTTTTTATTTTTATAGGAAGCTTTCCTTTATTAAACATAAAGATACTTAAAGATGTTTTTAAAGCTTCTCAGTGAGTCTCACTCTGAGTCTGCTGATTATAACACATGACAAGAGTGACATCTGGTGGTGAACACACAGAACTGCACCTCTGAGAGTCTCAAATTAATAATGAAGGGAAATGCAGCCCCCTGCAAGAAACTCATCGGCACAAGATAAATGTGTCAAAAAGCAACTTTATTCATGATTCATAAATCAGTTCATGACGTCTTTAATGGCGACAAGGTTACACACACACACACACACACACACACACACACACACACACACACACACACACACACACACACACACACACCAATCTAAAAACATTGGCATCAGTTTTCACTTCACTCCGTTCTGCCTGACTCAACTTTAAAACCACAACACAGACAGAAACAATATTTAATAATCACAGTGACCACTTCAAAACCAATATTTACAAATCACCTCAATAAACAAAACACATGAACCAATCACGCGGCAACACAGAGACGCTTTCACCCCAACTGAGTGTCCAACATCAACACACAGCATCCTGCAGTTCCTTCCTACCTCTACATTTGGCCTCAATTTGGCGCGCAATGTCGCCTCAAATGCGTCCATGAAGCATGATCCCTAAAGCTTGACGCTTCTTTATGACCTCAGCAGCAGCGCACACAGACATTACCTGTGACCACCCACCCAGGGCAGCTCTGCCTTACTATAAGGAAGTTCCTTCTTTTTTTGTATGTGTGTGTTAACATTTGTTGTTTTATGCAACATTTCTGGATGTTACAAATATTATTTTACCTCATTGTTGCATGAAACTGAAAAAATTTATAAAATCATACGAGGTTCAAAGATTAAAAATAATGAAATCTTAAAATAATCCGTCACATTTCATCAAAGTATCGAGTACCAGGATGTCTGAATTTAAACTTTTATGGCCGATTCTCCCTTAGAAATAAAAAGTGTCTCACTGAGAATAAAATAAAGGATAAAAAATCGAGTAAAAATATTGTCCTCCTGTTGGGTAACCAGCTGCTAAAAGTCTTGTGGTGCGTTCAGGTGCAACGCGTGGACCGGACGCCTCCCAGTCTGACCACCAGGAGGAGCCCCAGCACCGTGGTGGACCTGGGCGGCGGTCGATACGGCGTCTTCATCACCTCCAAACACCTGCAGGCCTCGGACCCGACAGCCCCGCGGAGGAGCTGGAGTTCTCCATCACCAGACCGCCTCACTTCGGATACCTGGAGAACGCTGTCACAGGTGAGCCGAGCCGTTACCTAGCAACAGATTAACACTCCAGTATCGGGAGAGAATAGTAATGTTCCTCATGAAGACTCTTTCTGTTCTCACAGGAGCGTACATTAAAGGTCGTTTCACGCAGCGGGACGTGGACCAGCGTGCCGTCGTGTTCGTCCTCCCCGTCGATATGGAGGTGACGGCCGACAGCTTCGAGTTCCGCCTCATTGACCCGGCAGGAAACATGGCGCTGCCCGAGATGTGGGTTTGTAGAAAGATCACGCTCATGCACAAAGACACAAAACAGTTTAATACGATGAATCTACGTGTTAAAAATACAAACGAGTATCTTACCAACTCGGCTTCTTCAGAATTGAAGCTCAGTGATCGAACCAGGAAGTAACCAGCGCCGACCTTCAGCTTGTGTCACTCAGAAATACTTAAAAACTTGTGACAATATGAAGGATTCAGCTGTGTGTCTCCTGCAGACTGGACCTGTCCTGGTCTCGGGTGGAGTTGTCGGTGACCTGCTACCGAACCTGTGAGACGGCGGGGACGCTTCAGATCCAAATCCAACGCAGCGGAAAGAGCGTCGACCCGGCGTACATAGCTATCCAGGTACCTTGTCTCTTGGTTTAAAGGAAGATTAACGTCATTATAAATCGAAATCATTGCTCGGTTCTTCTTTAACATGTTTGTTCACACAGGTGGAGGAGGGATCGGCCAAACCCGGCAGAGATTTCACCCACAGCACAGCCGCTCTCATCCAGTTTGACCCAGGTCAGGACTCTGTTTGGCTTCTTTTACAGGCTGTTTCTGTGTCTGTACCTTTAAATATGTAAATGAGCTGTGTCTGACCACGCCCCCTCTCTGGAAGGGCTCGGGTGTACTCGGTCTTTCTCGCTCCATGTCCTATTGTTTACGGTGAGAAGGCAGACTCAGAGGGCAGAACAAACACCTAGCTGTGGGAGTGTCACCCACCTGGGGGAGGGCTACTGCCCTTTGTGTGTCATGAAGGGAAAATCTCCAAACGGCCTGTTTGAGCACACATTTTCTGAAAAGTGGAGCAGGGAGAAGACGGAGAGGATGGACTTTTCTCATCATTGGGGGGTTTGTAGACGGACCAGAGACACATGTTAGAGTTAGAGAAACATGGGGAAGATGTGACCTTTAAATCAACATGCCTGCATCATTCGGTAAAACCTTCTGTGTTCAGGAGTCAGCGTGAAAACCTGGAACATCTACCTGATAGACGACGGTCTGGAGGAAAATCACGAGACTTTCACTGTCACCCTGAAAAATCCGAAAAACGCCGTCCTGGGACAGAGGACCTCCGCCAGGGTTGAGATCATCGACCCAGAGGAGGTAAATAAAAATCAACTCCTAAACTGTCAAAGACCAAATCTATTTTTAAATCTCCCCCTTAGTTTGTTAAATGTAAATGTTTGTGTTTAGATATCGATGTTCAGAACAGGACGAGCTAAGGTTTGAGTTTGTTGGTTGTTGGTTGATTGTTGATCTTCTTTTAGAAGGAACTTATTTAATCATAGACGAGCTGTAAATAAGACAGAGTATAGAGTCACATGAAAGTAAAAAAACCCTGAGATTTAAAGATTTTGAGTCGTAATAATATGAGAAAATGTCTGCCGACGTATCTGCGCAAAGCATGGAAAAAGTTGTAGGACACGCCCACTCCGGCAGCTTTTTCAAGGACAGATTGCCTGGAGCAACCTTTTAGTTTGGAGTAGTTAAAAGAAAGAACTCTCTCTCTTGGTATATTCAAGGACGGTGCGATCCAGACGACCTGAGGGTGGAGGAGGAGGAGAAGCGGCTCCCTCCTCCTCGCCTCCCTGATCCCCCAGGCTGAGGGAGGAAGAGGACCCTGTCACAGACATCGAGGCAGAGCTGCTGTGGGAGAACCAGCCTCACCCTCCTCGAGGAGACGTCCCAAACCGCCGGCCCTACCTGGACTATGGAGAGGGAGAACCCCAGGACCAGGCGGCCCCGGTTACACCCACATCCACCCCCAAAGCAGGCAGCAGCCAGGGACCGGGAACACCGGACACAGGGTCAGAGAAGGAGGATTAAAGGTGAGTGTGATCCTCTACTCCTGTTTGTTCTTAGGGACTTTTATATTATCTATGTATACTTACATGTGCTGTTTTATATTTTTAACCCCTTTGCTGCTGTTCAGGTCCATCTGTCAGGAGAGAGGAGGTCTGAGGAGAAGGTGTGGACGGTAAGATTCAGTTTATCACACACACACACACACACACGCACACACACAGACACACACAGGGTTAATATGTTCTGCTCCTTCATCAGTTCCACAGTATGACTCCTCTCCGGCTGGAGGAGCTGAAGCCGGGTGATGCTGGGTGGAGTCGCTGGTCTCACAGTCGCCTCCTGCAGGAGCTCCGGTTGGTGACCCTCCTCAGATGGATCATCCAGAACCCAGAAACCAGCCAGAGCTACGCCAGCGCAAGGTACACACACAACACACACATGCAAATTTATTTTCAGTTTTCTGCTTGAATCCACTGGACTTCAAAGTAATTCTGCTTAACAGAGACAAACATGTTTCTTCCAACTACAGACCAGGATCCTTGCCTCCACAGTTTTCAAGAATATTAGAGAAATTATTTGAAACCAGTTTAGAACATTATAGACAGGTTTATACTAGGTTAGTTTAAGCAGCAGTCAGTATGGATTTAGGATCAATCACTACACATCAGTGGCACTTAATGTAATTAACCAAACAAATATCAGTGCAATAGAGAATAAGAAGTTTTAAGTAAGCACCTTTGTTGACTTTAAAAAAGCATTTGACACCATTGATCATTCCAGTGTTGTATACTCGATACAAAAAAATCGAAATCGAAAGCATTTTACTCAGTCTTTTCTCGGTCTCAGACTTGGCAGACTATGGATTTAAAATAAGAACAGTCAAGACCACCACTGACAGGATACTAAACGCACCTTTCTAAAAGAACAAATATTTATCCCCAGTTACAGCCGCAACCTTCCCGGTGTTACGGTCTATGAGAGACACGCCCCCTAAACACAAGGTGATGATTTTACAGTGATATTTAGTTAATATGTATCGAGAGGGGTGGCACATCAGTGGGTAGAAAGGTAATTAGAAA